GGCCCCGTGCCCCCGGTCCCCCCCCCCGGGGGGCGGCCGTCGGGCCCGGCCCGCCGCGCCTGCGAGCCCGGGTGCCGGCGGGAGGCTGGCCCTGCCCCGGGAGCTTCGGCCGTGCGGTGGAGACCGGGCGCGCGATGGAGAAGCCCTGGTCCCGGTCCCGGTCCCGGTCCGGTCGGAGGTGGTCTGTTCGCTGTCGTCTGTCTGGCCGTGCCCTGAGCGCATTCCTGGCGGACAAGCGCTGTCGCGAGGCAAGAGACTTCAGAGAGGATTTTCTGGCCCAGCAAGCCATGCTTTAAAGGGTGCCGCTTCGGGAGCCAGATCCGTATTGCAAATCTGTCTTCTTGCATATATGCAGAGACTGCCAAAAATGTGAGTGAAGAGAAAAAAAAAATATATGTCGCAAGAATAATTAAGGCTTCATTCTGTACAGGGGTTATTTTCAGAACATTGCCACCCCCACCCTCCCCAAATTGTTCTTAGGTAGAATGCCTGCCCCACACAAATATACAGGGGAAGTTACTTTAATTCTGATCAATTTTCTTCACGTTTTGAGTAGTGCGTAACAAAACTATTGCTACAGAGACCTCTCAAGGAAGGGAAAACCACCTGTGGCATGGCGACAAAGAGCCACAGTAGCAATTAAAATGATATTTAATTCATTGTATGTACTTTATTATCTGTGACGGACAGTTTCAGCTGAAAGAAGTCATGTCCAAACTAAAATCTCATCCTTGTCTCTCTGACATTTCGTGGATGTATGGCTGACAACTCCGACTCAGCTGTGGCTGAAACAGAGCTCTTAATCTTTCTCCTTGGCTTCCACTTGCCTCTTCTCTCAATCACGGTTGACATCACCATCATCGTACCTTCACTCAGGACCGTAACTTGGATGTCATCTGTTTGATTTGGGACCCTTAACCACGTCTCACAGGGGTTACGGTTAACCGTTGTGGATTACTTCTGGTTAACATAATTATGCTTTTACTGTCCCTCCAAGCAAATTAGCATGTTCATTCAAATTCTAATTTGCTTTCATCTTGATTACTGTACCATTTTTTGGTCTGAGCAAATGTGTTCTTAGCGTCATCCAGCTTTATTAAGAATGCTACTCCAAAGATCTTTCTTATTACTATTATTTTGGGTATTTCACAGATCAGTTTGCATTTGTCCACTGAGGGCAAAGTTTCACAGAAGAGATAACCAGTTTTAATGGCTACCTGGCACGGGAACAAAAAGGATGGTGCTTCCTGGTGCCAGCTCTGGTACTCGTCTCGCCCCACGGTGATCTGGTTCACCTCACCAAATCAGCAGAGAGCAGCTCTTCTGGGTTATTTTTTCTACTGGTTATCAGGCTGAGTCAGGTAATTCCAGCACGAGATGACTGCTGGAGAATGGCTCTCTGTGCTCAGCTCTGCCTCCTGGTTATGGCCTTACGCTCCCTGTGATCTGCCGTTTGCTAGAGCAGTGCCAGCTCCTTGCCTTCGCCCAGCTGCTGACGCCGGCCGTTATTATCTGCTCCTCACAGGATCGAATGTGTCTCTCCACTCAGGTGCCTTGGGTGGCACCCTGTGTAACACTCTTCACTTTCCTGTACCGTCCTTTTTAAAGCTTGCTTTTTGATGCATACGGCTGCCTAGAGACTGTGAGGTCACGGTTTGCTGAGGAATTAACCAACATCGTCTAGTAATTTCCACAGGAGATCGCGGAGGCAGACTGCATCAGCAAGTCTGGAAAGGGATGACACAAATGCACGGCCATTAGGCCACAAACGGACACCAAAAGGAAAACCGAGTCCTGAAGAGCCCGGTAACGTCTCCGGTTCTGGCTGGCACAGAGGTTTGAGGCGAACAGATGAGAGAGGGCGGCTGGGTTCACCTGCTCACTCCGAGCAGCACCCGCTGTCCTCCCTGCTGCAGACACAGCAGGAGTTGGCTGGAGCACCAGTCGAACCCCACAGGATGCGGGTCAAGGCTTAAGCATGGCCAGTACCGTTAATTACTTTCTTTTGCAACAGTTAGCTTTGTTTAAACGTGTCCTGCTTATGCTGGGATACCGGGTGCTGTGTGGAAGGTTTGGTTTAAAACCACAACAGAAATACAAGTCCCATAGATGGTTTCAAACAAGAAAAAGCTAGCGAATTCGGGAACGAAACTGGTGTAATGGCGACTAGGGACGCGTCCCGCTTCTTTATTTGTAAAGAGAGGCACAGCTGAACGCTCCAACTACCGCAGTTTTCTTCCTTCGGAACTCCGACCCCTCCACAGACTGCCTGCAGGTTTCTACTCAAGCTGCTAACTGCACGCCTTTAACCGTAAAACGCAGAAACGCGGCCGAAGCCCCGCAGCACCCCGCACGCAGAGCCGGCCCCGCTCCCCGCCCTAAACAACGCCGCCTCCGCCCGTGCCGCAGCCACCCCGGCACCGGCCGCTCCTTCCGCGCCCGCTCTCGGGCCACCGAGCGCCCGGGCCCGCTCCCACGGACGGAGCCGGCCCC